CCTAAGTTTAGTAATACGATCTATACATGAACCAAGTGGATGTATAAAATAAGAGAAATATAATCAGGGTGTGTGTTGGGTTGGGGGGTATAGAGCTGAAGTACTCATACCGGAGCCCTTGCCTTTGGATTTGCACCCATTTTTATAAAGAAAATGGAGAGCTACTTACTGGTGAACCTTTGTCTGTGAGTCAAATAAGTAAACCTTTGTCTATGATTCATTTGACTCACAACTGGTAATCAATTGAAGACATAGCTTCTCGGATTGTACATTTCATGAGTCGTGTGTGCTATATTTTGTTGGTATTGAAAATGGTGCTTGATTCTAATTGGTCCTCCAAAATACATAGATAGATAAATGAAAATCATTGCTCAGACTCGACTCATTTATCAAACAAATTTTAAAATTGAATTCAAACTCGGTTCATTTGATAAATAAACAAACATGAACGAGCTTTTATGCGAACTTATCTTGAGCTCATATTTGAAACCTTAATCATTGCACAAGTTTTGAAGAATTAAAAGCATGAAGAGTCTGTTCTCCTAAGTTTCTCTTTATTTCTGCAATTACAGCTCCCAAAAACCTATTGAAAGAATTCTTCGAGCTAAACCAAAAATCTTGGACCTGTCCTTGCATGCAAATACATTGTGCGTCAAGGTAGTGTTTCTTAGAAGTAGTGAATTTTGAGTGGTGACAGGATTCTTTTCTCATAAACCGTTGTTTATTTTGTTACATCAATTTACTTCATTATTTTTATGATGAGTAACAATAAATGAATAGATCAAAGATCTATGACTATAAATCATTTTTTTTTTTGGTATAATATCAAGGACAAGTTAAGACTACAATACCTCCAAAAAAAATTTTATACCTTACCAAAATCAATTGGGAGTTTGATTTAATTAATTTGTAGCCCCTTGATTAGCAGAACACTACGATAAAATAATAAAATTTTACACGAGTTACAGTTTTATTTGACCAAAATCAAGGTATGATATTAAAAAACTATTTGGATTCTAATATCAATGTTGTTGGGTATGATAACCTTATCCTTTTTTTGCCTAGTTTCATTTTCTTAAATGTATGCATGTTTTCTATATTCGGTTTTTGGTGGCCTATTACATATATAGTAATAGAAAAAAAACGTTGATGACTTTATTTCTTTATCTTGTTTAATGTATCTGAATTTGTGATAATGTTCAAATTTGGACAGTTCATTAAGGATGTCTAATTTTCTCATTTCCAATATATGCTTGCTTCTCTACATCTATGGGTTTTTGGAGGCTAAATCTGTAAATGTAAACAGTGTTGTTTTCTTTAATACTTCCATCTCCTGTGTATTTGATGTTATGTTCAAGTAAAATATGTAAATTTGCTGTGCAGAATGCACTGTTGGAGTTTGGAAAGGTAGTTAATGTGAAGGAGCAAGTGGTTACTGGTACAATGTACTACATCACACTGGAGGCAACCGATGGTGGTCAGAAGAAACTTTATGAGGCCAAGATCTGGGTGAAGCCCTGGCTGAACTTCAAGGAGGTCCAGGAATTCAAGCCGATTGGTAACACCCCTAGCACTGCTTAATTTGTTAGGTAATTACAACTGTTGTTAGAGAATAAGTGATCTATCCAAGCTTAACGAATGGGAATTCCGTTAAGTACTTATCTTTATGTGCTATGGTGTCAAGGTGTTCAATGTTGTAGTTTTCAGTAATGCGTAATTGTACCAGTTGTTATTGATAGTACATCACACTCATGTAGTTGAAATTGAAAAGGATGTCAGCATCTATCTTCTCTCTTGCATGATGGGAACGTATGACCTTGTTTAGTTTGCGTCTAAAAAAAAAGTATCCGAAAATTATTTTTGTGAAGAGTTTTACTGGTTATATGATTCTATATGTTGTCTGTCCACCACTTCTGAAAGAACGAATCCGAGCGTATCAATGGAATGCCCTGAACAGAACCATATCGAAAGACTTTTTCCATATTCTTTGTTTTTTTCTTCTTTTCAATCCGAAGCATATGTTCTCCACCAAAATAAAATTATTGTGCATACAGCTGTGGTGGCTCCTTTCATTTTAAACGAGTCCAAACGAAAGGCTCTTCCACTTTTTGGTTGAAGTAGCCACGACTTTGCTCGTAGTCAATGTAAAGACATAAACCCAATCCATTTACAGCCATGTTGATCAAAATGACCAAGTTTAATGACTTTACTAGCTATGACTTCCAACCCGCGTCTTAAGTGATCTTCGACCAACCCTCTGGACAGATCAAAGAGGAACTAGAATAGAGGAAGTCATGAGGATAGCTGAAGGCAAGAAATAGAAATAAGTAAAATTTGTTTGGACAATAACTCATAAAACAATGAAAACAAAAATATAGTGGCGGTGGTAGACGTGGTGGTGGTGGAAATGTGTTAGTGGTGGATGAGGTGGTGGTGATATTTTTTAAATTCTGAAAATGTTGTTTTAAAAAATACACAAAATAGTCTTAATTTATTCTCTAAGGACGTGTTTGGTAATCGGGTGTGTTTTTTTTTCATTTATTTAAAAAAATAAAAATAAAAATGTGTTTGTTGAATGCTTTCACTTTTTTTACTGTTCCGTTTTGAAAATAAGGCCAAAATATGAAAACATCCAAAAAAAACACACATACGCTTGACTTCAAAATGAGATTTAATGAGATTTTGACTTCAATCATCCTTACCAACAAAAAATGAATTTTTTTGCTTGAGTATAAAAACTCCCTTCCCCTCTTTGATTTCTTTTTTTTTTGGCCAGCTCCCTCTCTCTCTCTCTCTCTCTCTCTCTCTCTCTCTCTCTCTCTCTCTCGTCCTTCTCTGTTTTTCTTGCTTGGGTTTTATAGGGGGTTGGGTGGTAGATTTTGGTGGTGATGGATAGGGGTTTTACGAAGGGTTTGAGCAGTGGATAGAGGGTTTTACAGAGGGTTTGGGTGGTGGATTTTGAGGGTAGCGGTGGGGTCGAGTGGTGGTGGATGGTGGATTTTGTTAGGGGGTTGTGCGGTGGTGGATTTCAAGAGTGGATGATGGGTTTTACAAGACGATTAGGTGGTGGGTTTTTTTGGGGGGGTGGTGGTGGATTTCGAGGGTGGTGGGTTTTGTAGGGGGTTAGGTGGTGGGTTTTGCAGGGGTGGTTGATTTTAGGGATTTTGCGGGGGTTGTGGAGGTGGATTTCTGTGATTGGGTGTTTGGCGGTGGTTGCTGGTGGTGGGTTTTGCTAGAGAGTTGGGTGGTGGTTTTGGTAGTGTTTCGGTTGGGGTTGGGTGTTAGGTGGTTGGTTATGGATTTTTGGTATAATACCAAATATATTTTATTTTATTTTTATAATTTTTTAAATATAAATAATTATCAAACATTTTTTATATTTTCAGTTTTTATCACAAAAAAAATAAAAACGAAAACGTTACCAAACGCACTCTACTACTCACTTTTTATTCTTAGTTTTCCAAAAATAAGGATCTAGAACACCCCCCCCCCCCCCCCCCCCCCCCCCCCCAGGAAACAGGTTTAATGTATACACATGCTACATACATAAATGCCCCCATTCAATGAAAGAGCTCAAATCTTTTCAAGAAAGGTTAGCATATATTCAACAGTTCATTTCAAATTTCTTAGAATTAATGAAGAAAAGAGTAAATGAATGGAACAAAAAATGCCAACACGCTTTTGACGGCCTATTTACTAAAATCCCGAGAAATTAAGTATTTTGGGAGGGAAAGTTTGTCAATCATCTCTCGAACAACTTGATTATTTATTAGCCAATATATCAGTGGCTAATTAGGGTGTGTGAGACTGGTGGAGAGAGTTGATGAATGCCAAGGACAAAGACTGGTCGTTATCAAGAGGTGGTGTTCTGATTTAGTGTTTTTCCTTTGTTATATTGAGGTAATTGGAGATTCTCTCTTCTTTTTGAACTGCTTTATAGTGGGACAGACATATATTTATCAGTATCTTTGCGATCAGTTTGTTCATCCTCATGAAACCCACCCTAACGAGGCAGGATCATATTGAATTCATCTTGTAGAACGAGTAGATTCCAAATACCTACAATCACTCGCTAAATATAGATATCTGTTAAAATGATGAGATACCAATGAGTTGAAAGAAATGGAATGACTAGTTGGAAAGCATTGTGTGAATTGTTAAACATCAAAGGTGTAACCGATTCTACCACTACCACAAATGGTGGCACGCTAACACACTTTCCTGTCTTCAAACCCCAACCTTCAAAATCCAATACAAGGAAAATAACCAAAGAAACGTTCTGCTATCAGCACCATTTTATTGCCCTATATGGTATTTCTAAGACAAACTTTGGCTGATCACAATGGGAAAGATATCTAAGGCACCTTAAAGATATCACGCACAATGCCCAGGCTGCATTCTTGACCCGGTGAAGCAACTACAACAACCTTTTGCCTGCAGTCACTGCTAAAACCCTCAATCAAGAAGTGCCCAAATAGCATCTTTCAGGATGGGGAGGTCCTTACCATTCTCCGTAGTACAGCCAAAACAATTCATACCAAGTAAGAAATCTGGCCTTGAAAGAATCATCTGACTTAGCACTTCATCGTTTCTGTCATCTCGTGTAGAAAGCCAGTCAACTGCCTCTTGCTTAACTTTGCATCCTCCAAAGTAACACAGGAAATCACATTAATATAACAGTCAACTTCATCCAGCAAAATTAAGTACTCAACTCAATCTATCAATACTACAGGGAAACAAAACACTCCTACCTGACACGAACTGGACTGGCTGGGGTCCATCATGTGAGCTTCCATTGATAGAAATGCATTCGTTGAAAGTTGATGCAGGAGAAGGACCTAAAGGAGAGATTAAGTTACCATACACTTCCCATTCTGTTCCATTCTGAGACGGACTGTTCACCATATCACCAGGCATTACAGAAGCACTAGGAGTCTGCTGGCATGAAGTTTTCTTGGTGTTTTTCAGAGTTTGTGATCCATAGAGTACAGCTTCCAACAGGCCATTGTTCCGTGGTGAAAGACCATCCGGTTGTGTCTGCTCAGTAGGAGGTGAGTGGATAAAAGTATCAACAGATTCAAGATATGGCAGTGGAGAGGATGGTGACCCCCAGCTACCCACCTGAGTATCTGAATATTGGAGTGAAGGGAGCTCCTGCTTCATTGCCCAAGAGATGGGTTCTGAAGAAGAGGAATTGCCATTTGAAGGGGCATGGCTGCCACGAGGTAAACATGAGAATGATGGGTGGTTGGCAATAACACTATGATTATATGCACAAGAAAACCCAAAGGATTGAGAAATCTTCTCAGAACTATCATTTTGATATTGTGTAAATGCTGGGCTAGGATCACTGACACTAGCACTCAAACCAGGGGGAAAGGACTCTGATTCTCGAAGACGCTTGGCTGGATGATTTGTTGAGAACGAAAAGTCATTACCGCAGGAAGAACTAAAACTGGGTGCAATCAAGGTACTTGCCATAATGTCAGGCGAGCTACTCGCAGAAATATCAAGTGATGGCGGATACAGAAGCAGATTGAATTCCAAATTTTTGAATTCCACAGCCGGAATCTCAAAGTTACTGGTCAAGAAGAGATCAGCATTAGTTCTGTCCCCAGAAGAGAATGCACTCATGTTCAGACTTTCTTGGTTCTCACTGAATGCTTGCAAACAGATATCAGGAGGGTAGATTGGTAAGCCAGCACGTTGTCGCCTCTTGATTCTAGTATTCCAGTAATTCTTTATCTCGTTATCTGTACGACCAGGCAACTGATAGGAAATGAAAATTAGCTCAAAACAAACGAGACAGAGCAGCACAAAGGAAGACCAATAAGCCCAAGTCCAAACACCATCTCCAAAGCTTCTATCTATTTCAATGGAAAATGAACTAAAAAATAAGCTCTTCATAGCACCAATGTGATTTGATATTGTAAGCTGTAGAATGAGTCAGGCTGCATGCACATTTAAGCTAATATGAAGCTTCATCTGGAAAAATGTTACGTGTAAACAAACGTGAGCGTGTGTATGTGTATGTGTATGTGTATGTGTTTATATTCTGCAAGCACAATAGCATGGTAAGTTCTCCTGTACCATATCCAAGTAAAACTGCCTAAAAGGCAAAATAAGGATAAATGCATTCGTTTCTACACGATAAATAAAAGCCATGAACTCTATTAGTCAGAAACTAAATATTTATTCAAAAAAAAGGAGACATAAAATAGTGGTGGATAAGGCATGTATAATATGCAGGGAACAAGTAACATCATTTTTCCTTCTCATGAGAATTGCAACGTGCTTTTTTTTCTTTCTTCGTTAAGTTAGTTTATCATTGAAAAAGTACTAAATTTGTTATGCTGCAAGCTCAATGACATGCCATATTTTCGGGAGAAGTTGCCTAATCTAGCTTTCCCCTGCAGCCATCACAATCCAACCCACTTAAAAAAAACACACAAGAAAAGGAAAAAACAAGACCCAATTTGATGGCAGCATCTGACAGTAGATCCACAGCAATTCTTATCTCCTATATATTCAATATTCAACTATCATTCTCATTATCAAAAACACTAGTGAACAAAATGCAACTATTTCTAACTAGATATCATTTGGGAAAATTCTCATAATGTATACATGTTTAAATGCAGAGGACCTTTTTCTTTTTAATGTTTTTTAGGGGGAGAGGGGTTGGAATGCAACGGACCAAGATTGATACATTTTCCCTTTTCTATAACAGAAACTGTAGTCATTATACCTACGGATACACACCTCTGCAGCCATTTGAGCCCATTTGTTTCCCATCTTAGCATGGAGTTTGATGATATGGTGTTCTTCCTCAGGAGTGAATGCACCTTTCTTCAGATCTGGTCTTAAGTGATTTGCCCAACGTAGACGACAGCTTTTACCACAACGGGAAAGTCCTGAGTGCTTCTGGACAGCATTCCAGTTCCCCTCTCCATGCTTCCTGACATATGCCACCAATATTGCATCTTCTGCAGACGTCCAGGGGCCTTTCTTCAGGTGACTACCTCCAGCCACATGTCCGCTGCTAGATTCTTCAACAGATGGCGAATCTATGCAACTGGTAGACATCATCCAGTCCCCATTTTCACTTGTACTACTCATCTCCTAAACTCAACACAACAGAATCAAATAAATACTTATATACGTGTATATATATATATATATAGACAGTCTGACATAATTCCCAAGAATGTAACTCATTAATATCTGAACGTTACAGTTCAAAAAAAAAAAAATAATATCTGAGCGTTGAACACAAAACTAAATTCAAGGAGGGAACTGACTATAATACGAAAAAATAAGAAGCAACAATTTGAAACAGAAACTCGGTGTACAAGCAGCACAGAGTATTATTGATAATGACAATGGAATGTGCTTTTTCTGACTTCTGACATAAACTAATTATATCTCAGATCAATAATGAAAAAGAAGCTCACGAAACTCCATTTACTGACTTGTCCAACCTAAAGTTTCAGCAAGCAGGATCCCGTTCAATTGTAGTAATGTGTTGAGTATAATTGTTACTGAATTCTGCAATAAACCAATTACAATTATACTCAACATAACCCGATTCCTTGTGGCCTACCCAATGCACAAGGATCCTTTCTATGTCAAAATAAGCATTTTGGACAATAAATTCACTGCATAAATATAAACTTAATGGGAATTAATAAAAATCTACATAATAAGGGAGCTATACATTTGAATTTTATCCCCACATATTTTCCCAGCCCATTTCTCTCACATTACCCATTTCTAAAAATTTTATTTCGAACATTGTCCATATACGATAGTGTACAAATGATGCTATTTTTTTGAGATAATGTATTTTCAGAAAATTTTGACGATTTTTGTTTTAAAAAATAATGAGTAAAAATTAATTTCAAATTATGTAATTAAAAATAGGGAAGGAAAGAAATTGCTATTTGATATAGTGAGATCTATTTTTTGAACATTCGAATTTTATATTGCACCGTGTCTTTAGGTACGGGTTATTGCCAGTAACATTATGTTGTTTAGTAAAACCCAGAAAAATAAAGAGTCTAGAAAAAAAAAAAAAACCAGACACATGCTATAAATCTCGTAGATTTATAGAACAAAGATCCAAATACCGTAAAACATAGTTTGTTCAGAATTCTTTTTATACATATTGCAAAATGTTACTTTAATTGTTGCCTGCAAAATTATTGGGCTTAAAATCATTAGGCTACCAATTGGAATATGAGGACCTCTCACTACCACACTCGTTTAAATGGGCAACCTAGCTAAAAGCAAAACTTGAAATCACAAACAACCAACTCTTTATTTGCCTATCTATATAGTAAGGGATAAGGCATTTTGAATCCCCCAAAGACATAAAAATGACTTTCCTCGATTTTAGAGATTCAGATCGTTCTAAATTTCTTCAAATTTAATACGATGGCAGATATTAACTAACAAAATTTAAGATTCTCACCCATTACATTCCAAGACTACCTCTCTCGCGGATTCTCTTTCCTAATCTTTCAATCAAGCCCTAAGTTAATACACCATAAATCAATCACTTATCTTTCTATGATTCCTCTCTCTGTCTCTCCTCGTTGACCAGCTAACAACGCCTCCTCCCTCTCGCCCTTTGTCTTCTCTCTATCTTTTTCTAGCAATGCTAGCGACCAGGTCCTCTGGCCATCTGACGCCATCAAGGTGAGTCTCCCTAGGCTTGTCAATCGTGTCGGGTGAAGCGGGTTTGTGTCGGTCTTAACGGGTTCGTGTCAAAAAATACTCTACCTATACCCGATTCGTTTATTAATTTGTGTTAATAAGTTGTGTCATATAAGGTTCGTGTCGATTTGTGTCCAGTATTTTTTTGGACTGATTTCGCCCATATCCTATTTTTTTACTAATAATGTCGTATCGAGTCTACTAGTTTACGACAAAATGGCTTAAAGAAGACTCAAATCCTCTAATTTCGTGTCATGTTAACGAGTCTTTCATATTTTGACACCCCTAACTGTCTCACTCTATGTCTCTTTTTCCCCTTCACCATGTTCCTCATCTTTCTCTCTTTCTCCCCTCTAGATTTAAAGGAAAAATTTGGAAAAACCCTAACTGTTTGAGATTCAAATATGGTGACCCCTACATCCAACTTTGCACTTTCTATTTATTTTGATTTCTTAGTGGCGATAGAAGGTGACTTTTAGTCAATAAGAAACCAAAATTCAATTTATGGTTTTTTGTCTTTGACGGATATTAGATCCTAGGTAATGTTGCTTTGTGGGTTTAGATTGGGGATGATTTAAGTTTTTTACTTAAAGCAACGATTTTCATTAGAAAAAAAAAGGTGAGCAAAATGAGATTAGTTTGTGATGTGATAGCACACAGTGCGAACCATAAACCACCCACCAACACCACCAGAAACCTATGCCACTTTCCCTTTCCTTTTTACTCTCTCTCAATTTATGGTCTTCACCCTAACCGCACATATTAAGATGGGTTTATTGGGTTCGACAAATAGTTTAAGTGCACAATTGGTGAAGCTAACATTGCTGGTTGATGCCAATCAAAATGAATCAGTTAAGAGAGACCTTGAGAGTTTTTCAACAATTATAACTACAGTTGAGATGACTATGCTTACAGTTCCATTTGTTTGCAATTGTGTGATGTTCTTGGTTAATGAACTTTATTTTTTTGGTGTTTTTACGGTTGTAAATGTATGGAGGAAAGAGTTGGTTGTATTGATAGTTCTTTTCAGGTCTAATTAGGCAAAGAAATGGTAAGGATGTTTCGAATTTATTAGATCTTGCTGGCTTAGGGGATTAATTCATACTATTTCTCGAGTAAAGGTGTTTTTTCAAATTATGTATCAATATGCTTTGATGATCACGTTCCAAGCAACAGTAAATCATGGTATTGTCTAGTGAAGCATCATGCCTTAACCCCAATACTTACCCAAAAAATGGGCGTTTGCGTTTCGTTGTTGCTGGTAACTCTATCCTATGCACTTTCTAATTTGTTTCAATTGATTAATATTTTCATTCTTTTTCCTTTTTCAAAAATCTATCATCTAATTGAATTAATATTTTAATAAATCTTTGCAAGTGTGTTTTCATGTCGGGATTAATTTACTTTGTACAGTGGATGCCGATTGTGACGAATTGGGTAAATGCACATTCTTCATGTTCATGTGGCACTTAGATTTTTTTTTTTTTTGGGCGCGTGGAACTTCAAATTTGTTCATCTTGACACTTTGGGAGGCATAGATTTTTTCTTTTTCACTTGGAACTTTGAATGCATTCATCTTTATACTTTGAGACGCTTTGATTTTTCTGACATGATTTGGTGATTCAATTCTCAAGGTGGTGGGCTACTTCAAAGTTTGATGCTATAAATTTGGTGATTTTTCTGACATATGATTGGCAAATTTCCTCAATGTTTCTCTTTGGCCATTTTTTTGTATTATAATAAGTTTTCAACCACTCGCAATTGTTTGATTTTTTTTGTTTGTTATTTAGTAACTTCATACAAGGGCAGTCGCTAGCACATACACAATATGGATATATCTATATATGTAGGCTATTTATTCAATATCACAAACAACTAGCACCTCATTTACAAATATATATATATATACACGTGTGTGTGTGTGTGCAGCAAAAACTAAAAAGGAAAAAAAGAAAGAGTTATATATATTACCTGAAGAAAGAAAACTGGTGATGTTGCTGCGCCGGAGCAAATGATCAGGCCGACATGAATTTCACATCAGAAATAAAGCCCAGAACAGAGAGAATGTGAAATTAAAAGAGCAGAATTAATTCAACTACACCCAGAAACCTCTGATTTTCTCAAGCTCTTGCAATGGAGTTTTGAACTCTAAACCCTTCAAGTAAAAACCAATTTAAGAGAAAAGAGAAAAACAACAAGTGCCCAATTTTGTACTTAGAAAAAAAAATTAAAGCAACTAATGAATCAGTTAAATTCATGCAGACAAAGGCCACGAATGACAATGAAAAACAAAATCAAACCGCGGCGTGAAATCACCCACATAAAATTCTCATATGTAATGCTCTGTACATCCATAGATCTATCTGACATTATAAAATTAGAGAAAAAGTAACAATAACAGGTATTAAATTAAGGAAAACAGAACTCCAGAGCACAATGTATAAGATGAAAAATAAAATATGGCAACTAATGGAAGTCCCCAAAACCCCCAGCCGTAAGCAATGGATGGAGAAGGAAAAACACAGACCCCTTAACAGAGAGAGAGAGAGAGAGAGAGAGAGCTAAGGGGTCAGCTGATTATGGGAATTTAGAGAGCGAGAGCGCTAAGGAGTCATCAAATTATGCGTGTTTAGAGAGAGAGAGAGAGAGATGGCAACAGAAGAGCAAAAATAGGAGAGAGAGACCTGGACTCAACACCAGCTCACACCAGAGTTGAGATATTTTAGAGAGCCAAATACAGACATAGAAGCACAGTAGAGGAAAAATTACACTTTTAGCGCCTCATGTGCCCCTTAAACTATTAAATTTTTTATATTATTCTCTTAATTATTTAAATCATTTTCACACTACTCCGATCACATACCTCTTTTATCTTTTCGGATAAAGAGTGTCTACGTGTCGAGAGAAAGTATAACAAAATCACATAATTTAAAGTAAGAAAATGAAATAATTTTACATCAAATTATAACAAGTGATAATTATTATGCAACTAACAACATAGTTAAAGGTCTAATATGATAAACATATAGTTGAAGGGATAATATAAAAAATTATTATATTTGAGGGGGTTAAAATGTAATTCTCCTTGCACCAGAGGTATCTATTTGAGAGATATTTTTTGGGGGTGAGGGGTGTGGGGTAAATGACAAAAAAAAAAAAAAGTAAAGAAACTCATTGTTTTCTTTGTTTTTGGGTTGGAAAATGTTATGGTCAAAGAAATACTTTTAGTAGTTAATGAATTATTGGATAATGACCTTCCTAGAATTATTGGGTATTCAAATTCGGAAAGCGCGATCGGTAATCATTTTTATTGCAAAACAGACATACCCTTTTATTTATTCTTTTTATAAAAGTTTATCAACAATTTTTTTATTCTTTAGGTCTCTTTCAATGTTATTAAGATTCATAAAGTCACTTGTTAGATCCAATAAATTTAATGATAAATGATTAAACTTAATCAATATTTGAGAATACTTGAAATTGAAAGTGTGTATTTTTTTTGACAAAGAAATTGAAAATGTTGATACCATAGGGTTTCAACAAGGGCATCCCTTTGGTCAACTTAACTCCCACAACAATGTAATTTTAGATACAAATATTTTTAGAGAATATTATTTATAAAAAACTATCATTTAAACTGACGTTTGTAAACATAATTGAACGCGTAAGCAATGATCATGTTCTGGCTCACAAGGAAAAAGAAACACATCATTCACCATAGCATTTTTAAAAACATTTGTTGAACTACCGTCTTAAATGCCCATTCAAAAAAAAAAAAACCTATTGTCTTAAATAACATCATTTACATTGATGTTTTATGCAATTTAAACAACAAACTCTTGTAGTTAAACATGTCCAAAGATCTCAGATTCAATCTCTTCCCACACTCTTTAAAGACTAACTACCCTTGTCCCTTTGAAAACAGGCTCTAAATCAACTCAAGTTACAGTGGTTAGTCACTGAACTTGAGAGAATAATCGATGCAAATTTGAACATCCTATATAGTTAAAAAAAAAAAAAACAACTAACACACCATCCACCCAAATCAATCTGATCGTCCCACCCACCCACCCACTCCTCCAGTGGCAGACACCCAAACCCCCTCCCCCTCTCTATCTGTTTCCCCATGTTGACAGCTAGAAAAAACCGGCAAGATTGTGATTATACAATTTCATGCATCTGGATTGGAATGTTATTGATTATGATGACCTTCACATGCTACAATTATAGCCAACACCGCTTAAATTAACAAAAAGAAAAGATAGATAATACAACTTGAGGATCATGCAAAGCTGGAGACTCTGAACTCAGCACCATTACAACATACACAGGATCACTGCACTGAAAGGGCCCAAGGATTCAAGCTGTTACGGAAAAACAGCTGCATTTGATCTGGAAGGGGAACATTAAACCCAGGAGTTGAACAGGTAGAACCCGGTCTAAGTATGGCACTGAATGACATTGGACAAGACCCATCATCTTCGAAAATAGTATTGGGAAGGAGAAAATGCTTCTCATTCCCGGGGGCGGGCAAGCCAGAGACAGCTCAAAGCTCGAAGCCGAGAAAAGTAGTCATTGATAGCAAGAACGGCACGAGCTGATTGGCGAGTTGTTAATACGCGATGCATTTGTTGCAATGTTTGTTGCCGCAGATTGTCAGCCTGAGATTAACAGGAGTGTGTTAAATCACTTTTATATTTCTATGGCAAAGACCAGCTGGGAGTAAAGAAGAACAAATGACTCATGCAACATGCTTTGCGTGCCATCAGTGCAACTGCCAAGACCCCCCAGAGTTGAAAGTATATTTCAAAAAGAAAAGGAAACTACAGACTTCATTAAGTAGGACAAAAATAGTAAACAAAATCACCTGGTGAATGAAGCCCTCCAGAGTTCCTAGCTTTCCCATGGCCATTGCCATTTGACCCATGTAGTTAGCAACATTCCCCGAGGAACTCGAGGGACCAGGAGATCCCACCAAAGTATCAGCCAAGGACTGCTGCAATGCCTCCATTCCCTGCGACAAAGCATCTTCTGCCTGTTGCGATGACTGCTGCAAGTTGGTGATGGCCATTAACTGCTGCTCAGTTAAAGGCTCCAACTGATTTATAAGTAGCTGCAATCATGCAGGTCGAAATTTCAGATCAACAATAAGCTACAAAACAATAAATAAGAAATAACCGAACAGCACGATTTACAAAAGATACCACAGAAAGTAATGAAAACTACAAATGAAAAAGAAATTTTGACATCTGTGCGAACCCCAAACAACAAAAGAAAAGTTCAATAAGCCAAAAAGTGAAAATTACTGAGTATGTAAGCAAATAAAAATAACACAGGAACGATTAGAATTGAAATGGGTGGATACATTGATGCAGTAGAGGAAGCAGTGCACAACAACAGAAGGTTTTGCAAAGGGTAGCCCACAGGGATGTATGTCAACTATTTCAATATGGTGTATGGCAAGGCTTATTCAACATTTATATCTGGTTCAAGCCTACCATAACAGAGACAAACTAGTTATTTTACGCATACCCCACACAAACCTCGTCAACCCTAGGGTTCTACCATGGCAATTTGACGACTTATTTAAAGCTTGGGTTGGTACATTGACGACATCATTTGTAGAGCAAGTGCAAGCCTTAACGGCTTTGAGTATTCACTGAGCTTCAAGGGCACAGAAGAAGTTCAACGGCGACAACTGAAAGACTCCAAGCTAATGGGGAATAGTCCCAACATTAGTTAGGACACATTTCCCTAGGTGTTGGTTGGCTTGTTCCATTGAAAATTGCAGCAGTCTGTAATTTATGGAACAGAATCCGGTCGGTCACAAGCAACTAAAAAACAAAAAAAGTAATTGCAACCACAATTGTCCATGCCCATATCAACACCTTATCTTGATGGTATTTGGGTAACATGATATCGTCATTTGCTAGATGTTTCCGAGCCTAAATATCGTCATTCGCCGGATGTTGCCTGCACTTTAATGTTGCCCGCACTTTAATGCTTAACAAGTATGTGCCAAAACAATATTGAGCTAGCGTTATTCTTACTCAATTTATCTTATTAATCGAGTGTCCTCCTCCATGTTGGCCAATAGTAAAGTCCCTTTTATCTTTTGCTTTATCAAGATACACCGTCATTTGACTTAACTCATCGTGTTTTTTGGTTGTGTTGCCTTTGTCCATCTCCTTAGTTATAGGTGTTACTTAAATCATAGGTGTTACTTAAATCACATAGAGTGGAAGCAAGGGCGGGAGTCGGAGTGGGAGAGCAAAAGTGACGAAAGTCAAAAAAAAATTATAGCATGAGCGCCATTAGCGTGCCAAATTTATATGCATACGTATATAAAATTAACATTATTAAATATCATTCTAGTTAAATACATATCATAAACAAAGAATAAAAAATTAAAATTAAATAAATCTTAAAAAAAAACCAAAATAGCGATATATGATGGTTTAATTTCAAAATAGCAAGTGCGATATGCAAGATTTGCTATGCATCAATGAATTTAGTGGATTTGACCAAAATATATTTTAATATAATAAATTAATAAATTTCACATCAATCTCGTGACATAATCAAAGGCTTTCAACTCTTTTTTTATTTTGTTCTGAAAGTCAAAGGACAAGAAAAGTGAAGGAAAATTCAGATCACAAAAAAAAATGCGTTAGTCGACCACAAAGTGTATAAAGGTATTTCTGCCATCTATGTGAATTGGATGAGGAAAAAGCGCCAGTTTGGGACAATTTTCCTCCCAACTTGTGGATTGACGCGTGAAGTGAAAAGGCGTGAGCATTTTACACAAATCATGTGACCCGGGCCGTGAAAAGCTCTCAGCGTATCTTCCTCGGATATTCTCGTACTTAGAAAAGATATTGGTACCCTATTTTTCGACGAAACTAAGTTTGTGCCAATATTTCCTTATTCGAGTCATCTTATTTCTTTTCTGTGTTGCAACATAATCTTCCAGCAGATTAAGTTGCTCATAGTCATGGGGAGCTCTAGTTGCCTATTACACCCAACTTTGTCTCCTTCCCCTTGGATCTCTGCCCCTCCAGGTTTACCATAGGTTTATTGTCATTCAATGTACATACAAGTTGTCTTGTATGCTCCAGCTCAATAGGCAACGCCTCCTAAGCAATTAGCTATTTCATCTCCTTCTGATTTGCCTATTGCATTAAAGAAAGGTACTCATATCTGTACAAAGCATCTCACTTATAGTTTTGCCCCGTTTCATTGGTTTTGCTCATCTTTTCATTGTTCTGCATCATTGTGGTTGTTTATGTTTGTTCTTAGTTCTATGAAACATCTATGACATCTCCTATATGAATATTGGCAATGGATAAGAAAATGAAAGCTCTTCATGAGAATGAGATAGGAGACCTTACTCCTCTTCTTTCTAGTAAACAGTCTATTTTTGTTTGGTCTACATGGTGAAGTGTCATCCAAATGGTGTAGTTGAGTGTTTGAAAGCATGGCTAGTTGCCAAGGGCTACACCAAAAAATATGGTATGTATTAATGTGAGATTTTTCTCATGTTACTTGTCGCAACTCTGTTAGAGTTCTTCTCTTGTAGTTAATTTCAATTGATCTTTGTATCCACTGGATAAACTTCTTTTATATGGAGATCTATAGGAGAAAGTATATATAGTTCAGCCTACGGTATATGTTGTTGCATAGCTTGGAAAAATCACCACATGTTTGGTTTGATAAATTCAATGCCATTGTGTTTCAATTTGGCTGTCAGCACTCTATTTTAGACCATTCAATTTTCATACGTCGTTCTTCCATAGCTATAACATTACCATTAGTGGTAATGAACCAGATAATATTACCCACTTTAAGCCCTATGCAAGGGAAGCAATTCTACATCAAAGAATTAAGGATTCAGGTTGCAAGATCAAAGGAAAGTATCATTTGTGCCAGTGGAAATATGTATTGGATGCGGCTTTTGAAACTAGTACTCTTAGTGCACGCCTAGTTGATAACCCAAGGTCTCCAAAATTAAATTGGATGCTGACAGACGGTGGAGAAATTTTTAATGACATAGGACATTATGGAAGGTTGGTTGATGAACTAATTTATCTCACGGTTAACACATCTTGCTATTACTTATGTTGTTGATGTGATTAGTCAGTTCATGTATACTTCTCATAAGCTTCATTGAGAGGTTGTCAGTCATATCTTCCTCATTAAGAAGAAGTATCATTAAATTAGTCATCTCATCCATGATTGTTATTGACTTTTCTAATACTGACAAGTGGATAGTCACATTGATAGGAGATCTACTTCCAGTTACTGTACATTTCTTGTATTATCCTATTAATTGGCGTAATAAGAAACCAAATGCGGTTGCACATTCTAGTGCGAAGGCTGAATGTTGCCCTATGACTCAGCCTGCATGTAAGAGGTTGTGCCTCTTCCTATGCATACACATTGTGACAAACAAAAAATCATAATTGTTAATCTAATATATTATGAGAATACTACACAAATCAAAGTTGATTGTTATTTTATTTGAGATCTCTTGATATGAAATGAGATTATCACTCCACATATCAAGTCTGGTGATATTCTTACCAAACCTCTAGCTCGGTCCACTTGCAGTAGCCTTTGCTACAGCCTAGAAGCTAAGCATGTCTTATCTTTATGTTCTATCTTGAGGGGGCGGTGGGTGTTAGAGTTATCTTTTTTCTACTATTAGCCTAGTATTACGTCTCAATATCTTTCTAACATAAATACGAGGGCGTTGGACAGCACAACTAGTCGATTACACACAACAAATTATTTTTTTAATCCTTCTTTTCCTCTTTTTCTCCCTTTCTCTTCTCTCAAACCTAATACCATTGCCATTATTTTAACCACTGAAAAATAAATGGGGTGCAATATCATCTGATTGTGGTACCAAGTCAATTTTTCTTTCAGAGACTGGTAGAAGGTTTCAAAATAAGTCATGGGGCATGACAACACATTATGCCATTAGAAGCACACAATTCTATGAAAGAGCCATGTCCCTGTGAGACGCATGATGCAAACCAATGAAACATGAAATGTCGCCCTCACCTTAAGGAGTTCGGATGAACGGAATCCACCAAGCCATAAAAAACACCTTTCTGCAGGTGTTTTCCACATGCCTGACAGAATATGGAAGACATCAGCCTTTGCAGCATCTCCTTTTATCCGGAAAATGTCATAGTAGTGTACCAAGATTCCATCCACAATTATGCGAAGTTCACCATCAGCTGCATGGGAGTTGACAGCTCCCCTCAGCTCATTGGCACGTCGGTTGTGCTCTTCCAGCCACCGTGCATATTCTACATCAAACGCCAAGGCTCCTAGAGAGTGATGACATCATTAGTGCATTCTTAATAATAGAATATAAGTCAAGAAACAGAAAACTGTGAGAACTTTTAGTCACTGGACTTTGAAGTACAAATGGGGTTGTAAAGATCCAAAATCTACACGTAACGTCCATAAATGGATAATTATTACATGTAAATTTCAGGCTGCTTTTGAAGATAGCTGTATGAAAACTACCCAAATGTTGAAACCAAGATCCAATATTCTCCATCAAGCCATTCTTCTCTCAACATAAAAATAAAAATGCTCCCGCCAGTGAGAGGAGTTGGGAGGCCCAGATGTAAGCAATTTTACTCCTAATACAAGGAGGCTATTTTTGTCCCTCGACACCATGCCGCCTGGATCACAATGGGCCCAACCTTACCTCTGCGTCAAGGCCTGCTCTCACTGATGTTTATAATCCAGTTTGATTACAAGAAGCTACTCAACATGATAATCATGCTTGAAAGTCAAACTTGCTCATCTCATTAAACTAGCTGCACTTCCTACAGTTGAAAGCTGGGGAACAATCGCAATACAACTCTTTCTTCATAAATCATATGTTTAGAACAGCTTATAAAGTTTTGAGGAAGTTTGTTAAGGAACTAAGCTTTCAAGTAAATATATTTTTGGCCGTTTCACATACACGAACTGGAAGTGTTCAGCATATGTTGGATAAAGTAAAATATGATGGATCATGATAATGTCGAATCGAGCATCAAGCAAGCTTGGAAAGCCTGATGAACAATCACAAGAACTGCCAAAATCT